AATCACCGGTGCAAACGAATTCAGACAAAATAACCCGACAGTGGTGAAGAGCTATATCGCAGAATTTGGGTCTACGGGACCACTAAACCTGATCTAACGGTTCCTTTTGGGTAAATGAATAATCAGACAAGCCTTTGCAGTCGCGTCGCATTTTCCCTCTCCGCTCACACTCAATCCCTACATATACTGATTTTACCATTGGCTTGCTCACAAATCTCGATGACGCTGTCAATTGACAATGCTAGCATGCCTCCAAAAGTGTTGAATAGCAGAAAACCAAATTGTAATTCCAGAAGAAGAAAATATCTCATGTCGATCATCAACTAGCAATGAAGGATAGAGGACGTGACAATAAACGGAGCACATACTTCATTCCAATAAACAACGCGCACGAATTTCAGGGCGTGGTCTCGACCAAGAAATGTACCGTTTTCGTTGTTAAGAATAAAAATGTCAATCTACAAAAGTTGCAAGAAAAAGAACAGTTTAAGAAATATTATGTACACAAAACACGATAAAACTGTACACGGAGGGAAAAGCAAGCCCTGTATTCAAGACATTTACTGAAAACTAAAGGCTGTAAATTAATGAAATCGTTTGTTGCAGTGACTGGGTAACTTATGCAGCATTACTTTGTTACCTTGATTGCCCGTCACTGCATACTGTTCCAAAGAGTTATTATGGTTAATAATAAATTTGGGAATTACTAATTGTTGAAAAATTATTTACTGCAGGACATTTCAAAGGATGCCCTAGGCAAGAAGCTTAGGGTTTTGTCTCGAATTCACGTATCTCAGGGAGTCTTCCGTAGCCTGTCATGCACATTTGGAAGGGCTTACATTTAAAACAAATGATAAATCATGGCTTCAGGACAAGAATACATAGGTCGCTGTCCCTGATGGAGCTGGTTTCTGCTTAATCAACCTGATTTGAGCGTGCCTGGCAACCAGCATAAATAATCGGTAGAGAGAGAGAAGCAATTCGCTAAGCTAAACAGGGGAGTTAACAGAGGAGTGAGAATCACGCAGCCAGTGACTTTACAAAGACACGTCCGGAAGGCGAACTGGCAACGTACCCTCTGGCCTAGCGCTTTGAGGTTTTCCATCAGTAGCTTTAGAAACTTGACAGTTCGACACAACATTCAGGACAAAGGTGCAGTATACCTCTTCTACATTCTAATATTCTGGATTTTTAGCATACGCGGAGGATTTCAAGCACAAAAGGACCAGTATATTTAAAAGCAAAATAGGGGGCAGAAAAAAGCGTCTGGGGCGCAAATTTATAAGGAATGTTAAACTTAAAATAGCTAAACTGTTCAAAGAGATAAACGGAGTCACGAAATAAGGGAAGAACGTCATACGTCATGGAATTTAGAGATGTCATGAAGCACATGCTGGGCAACATATTTGCGGAGATGAGTAACGGTGGCCTTCGAGGACAGACGGAGGAATTTCAGACGCAATGGCTCCAAGCGATCGGAACCAGGTTCAAGTTGAATGTGGACCTGCTCATCAAGTCGATGGTAATATGGATCTTGCTGATAGGAATTGGAATGACTGCTCTTGTCCGGAGTTCCTTCCTTTGATTGTTCAAGTGTCCTAGCACATTCGCCTATAAGGTCTGGTGAAAAATATGCCACTTTATTCCTAGGTCTGACGTAAACAGGGCAGTACTCGAAATTCCTGTCTTCACAGCCAACAGTTGGAGCTGACAGTGCGTTTCGTTGGTTCAGAACTTAGAAATCGAAAGCTACTGTGGAAGGGTTTAGAAAACCGTTGAATATGTAGAGTGCGTGTGCAGAGAAGGACAAAGCCATATTATAGTTTTGCGGAAATGTTAGGGAATTTCAAGAACTATCAAAAATTAACGGTTGCATACATAGTGGTAGGAAAACGAGAAATCTGTGAATAATATCAAAGATTTGCAATAAGTGTCTTTTAAAAGTCATTTTAAAGCTCTTTCGAGGACAGAAATCCCGGGCGAATCCAGTCTAAAAAGGCGGCCACAACTAGATTCTTGTCTATAATAGGCACGGAAGTGCATGTGAACAGTGGGATAGTGAGACGAAGAAGCGCAAAAACAAGCCCTTGGTTTAAGTTGTTAACTGTGAGTGTACAACATCTTGATAGCGTTCCTATGTGCAGTCTTCTTAGACCACGTCTTTGTCACAGGATTATAGGTCACCAAATAAGTGAGCATCAAGGAGGACGGCAGGATTTTGAACAAACCCAGATTGCGGACGCCCAATAGGCATTTCAGGCAAGAACTTACCTTCATTGGCAGGCGGCTTCTGTCCAATCGATCTATAAAACTCCGTCCTGGCATTTCTTTCATCTAAAGCCTTAATAACAAACGCGAAACCTACTTTCTTTCAGATTGGGAACAATCTTATACACGATATCCTGGAGGGTCCGGTCTGCACTAAACCGCAGAAAGAAAACCGACTGAGTGCTTACCTTATGTAGTTAAGAGGGTGACTTTGGTGAATTAAAATGCCACAGACAGGGCATGTATTATTTGCCGTCAGGTAATTGACGATACACGATTTACAAACTAAAGAGTCTAGACAGAATGTAGGGCATTACATGGATGGAGGCATTCAGTTATGGAGACAGCATCAATAAGATAACCATTGCAGATATTGCATGTAACGTGAGCGTTGAGGTCTGACAGTCGAACTACGTGATTCGAGTGAACATCCTGCATCATCCCCCACTAAACGAAGACTTGCGTCTCTGTACGAACGGGCTCAAACCTGGCGCAAACCAACCGCACTTGCAATTGGTGCATTTCTCACGTTGGGACAAGATACAAATTTGCACTCGTTTAACTACGTATTTATTCAGTATCCCTACCTCAACAGGTTTTGACTCAATAATTCATATTGTCTATTAGTCTAAAAACTATTCCGCGACCCCTAACAGAAGCGTAAAAGAAGCACTCCTAATGCACACTAGCGAAAAATCAAAG